AATTCTGCTGCTTCCAGTTACAGCATGCACAGCTAAACAACCCAAGAGGAGAAGGTCAGAAGAACAACAATTGAAAAAGAAAGACTATGACCAGACAGGGTCAGAGGCCTGTGTAAACATAGGTGCTGCTTTCCAAGGATGGAGAGAGTGCCAAGCCAACATGTGGATTCTTTCCCCATTACCTAGTATCTTTGCTGTGGTAATGCACAGTCATGAAATTTGGAGGGTGTGGTTTAGGAATCCTAAATGAATGGGGTTGTGTATTTGTTTAGGTGGTGATGTAAATGTAAAAATCTTTCAGGGCAGTACGTTTGACAGTAAGCTTCCTACCACACACTCTGCCTCTGCTGCCATATCGTCTGACGATGCAGTGATGTTCAAATCTCATCTATCGCCTCGCTCTCTGCGGCTGGCACCTGGCCAGCTATTGACCGGACCTCACTCATGGTTTTTGGGTCACAAGCTGTGACAGAAAAGCGGATGACACTCCTGTCCTGAATCAAGCTCTGTGCCACACACAAACCACGCAAGCACTATGGTGATGCTCTGCTGGAAAGACAGAAGACTTGCTGACCACCAGCTCTGTTGCCTTGTTCTGACAGTGCAATCTGTTTCAGGCCACAGAGAGAGTGGGAAAGAGAGAGTGAGAGACACACACAGAGAAAAGAGTAGAAAAAGAGACAGGGAGCTGATGAAGCGAATGAGAAGAGAAAGCAGAGACAGATTAAAAGACAGAGAAGGAGAAAGGCATATTTGGTAAAGGAGGGTAGAGACAAAGAGAGGCTGAGAGAGAGAGAGAGAGCGACATAAAGAGACAGATGAGGAAAGTAATCATCTTAAAGGTCTGAAGGTCCCGTCAGACTCACTCACTGTCTTGCGGCAAAGATGAATGTAAGACTGAGCTCAAGCTGTGTGTGCAGGGATGAAAAATGACACAATTTCAACATTGACCTCAAGGGGCAAAAATCTGAAACAGCTGAATGTGAGAATAGAAATGTGACAGTGTGGTCCTGCAGCGTAACTGCCCTGGTGCTCAGGCTGGCCTCAGAATTGCAACGGTGGACAGTACACATCCTCCCTGTAGCAACTTTCTCTTTATGAACTGCTGGGGTCATTTTTTTTTCCCCCTGACTGATTAATTCAGCAAAAACGGTCACATTCATGCCTTTTTGCCAATTCTGGGAGTTGAGAAGACACTATAAATTCATATAGAAATGCTGTAGTACCACAAGCAGACTTTGATTTCTTTTAACGATATTTGCAGGATTCCTCAACATAGAAACACCGGAGTCCTCAAAATGACCAATATTATGATTTTATGTTAGGGGCATCATTTTAATTATGTCAGTACACATGGTTTTATGATATAATACCTGCCAAATTATTATTAGTAGTAGTATTCAGTAGTAAACAGGGTCACCTGGACAAGGTCCACCCTGGACATGTCGCCAGTCTCTCACACCGGCTGATGCTTAGAGACAGACACACACACCCACACACACTCCTGCGAGCAATTTAGAGTCACCAGTCAACCTACGCTGCATGTCTTTGGACTGTGGGAGGAAGCCGGAGTACCGGGAGAGAACCCACACGGGCATTATATCTATTATTACTATATTGACATCCTATGTTCTACATACAGTGGGTACGGAAAGTATTCAGACCCCCTTAAATTTTTCACTCTTTGTTATATTGCAGCCATATGCTAAAATCATTTAAGTTCTTTTTTTTCCTCATTAATGTACACACAGCACCCCATATTGACAGAAAAACACAGAATGTTTGACATTTTTGCAGAT